AAATATTTAATTGTAGTCGGGTAAATCTGACTTTAAGCTATTGCCATAAATCGATAGGAAACTAATTTGGTATATGGCACACTCGTCTGTGCTTCGAGTTGTTTGGGTGGTATATTAAAATCGAATAAACGGGATGTATTCAAGTTGTAAAAGCCAAGCCAATAACCTGTAGAATATCATTTCTAAACTATTTCCATGCTCTTATCTTAATTACTTTTCAGCACCTGCCTCGAAAATACAATTTGTTTACATGAACGAGAGAGCTCATCAAAATACCTCAATTGGCGATTAATTGTTAGTTAATAGATGAAAATGTATATCATGCAACCATTTATTCTTTCACGATAAACCAGTGTTGCAATAATTACTTTTACTAGAATCCTCGGAATTTTCCAACTTATTATCGATTAGATTATTAGCCCCATATTCGTCGTTCGGTTCTTGTGCATATCCTTCACAGTCTGATGTCCTTAACACTCTATTATTGCGTCGATTGCAAAGAATTTCCCTGCCAATCAATATTTAATTGCGTCAACGTTTCCCAGTCGAAAGCGTGGTTCCATTGTGCCTGCTTGAAATTGGAAATAAAGTGAAAATCAATAGATGAAAATTACTTTATAACGGGACAATTGGAAATTGTTCAAACAAGATGACAACTTTGCGGCCCTTTGATCGCCTGAATATTTAAACATTGACCAAAAGAGGCGGTGCTTCACCATTGAATTAAGACATTTATCGGTCCTTCAACGCACTTTAATTACACAAATGGCTAATAAAAGGCGAATGGGCGTTGGGATTGGTGCATTGGTCGTGGTATCAATTTTCCAGGGGAAGGCGAAGGGCGTCTCCCTAGCACGCGAATCGCAAAACATTTAATTGATTCTGTGGCCGTGAATGGCCGACTCTCGTTTCCCTCTGGCTACTGGAAACTAGGGCTTTTACACACTTGATATTACTGGATATATCAGGCTATAGACGGCGAAAAGGAATGCAGTTGATATTTGTTACGAAATTAGCCGCATACGGAAGATGCTCAAGAATTCGCGTTGCGCAGTAGCAGTTGCATTACTTAAATTACATGACCATTTTTATGATCGATAAGGAATCACATTTTGTTTAGATTCGCAGACTAATAAATCGATTTCCCTTCCGCTTACAGGTGCACTTCCAAGCGGGCTTAACCAATCCGTGGATCTGAAGAGGAGGAGCAGGCGTCGGTCGTTGGAGGCGCCGGCATAGAGAACTTTTCCGAGACGCGAGCGCCCAGCGGAGCAGTCGCCACCACGACGTCGACATCGCCACCGCCACCGCGAGCCGCGCTGCTGTCACCAGCCGAGCATTTGGACGCCAGCGCCGACGATCGCGGGCGTGTGTACAAGCTCCGGAAGAAGAAATACCTGAACGCAGCGCACATCACGTAGGGAGTCGGAGGAGGAGGAGGAGTAGCCAGAGCGGGTCGGGTGCTAGGAATCGGTGCTAGGAGCTAGGATTAGGAGTTCAAAACTGGAAAAAGTGGAAAAGGTGCATAAACGGGAGGCAATGGGATCTGAGATCAAATACTTGTTGTTATACATTGATCTTGGCGCTTATTTTATAAGCTGTGAATAAACTTGGAATTTGCTATCTTTGATCATCTTAATTATCAAAATGTAAATAAATTCTAATCGTAGCCTTCTTTTCTTTTTAGTATATTTTAATTCGAGGAGGAATCTAGGAGAGAGCAATGCCCGTACAATCCCCAATTGAGATCAGCAACCGTGCCATCGAGCACATCGACGATGTGGATCCACTGGAATACCACGGCCACTGGGAGCCGGTGGGCGTGGCCCGGGTTCAAAACACGGGCACCTCCGCAATGGTCACTTTCAGCAAGCGAAAGCAGCAACCATACATAATCGGAGGTGCCCTGGAACAGGACATGTACGTGTTCGAGCAGTTGCACTTTCACTGGTCGGACTGCGATGAATCCGGCTGCGAGCATACGCTGGAGGGCATGAAGTACTCAATGGAGGCCCATGCCGTCCACTACAACTCAAAGTACAAGGATTTCGGGGAGGCCAAGAACAAGCCCGATGGCCTGGCCGTCGTCGCTTTCTTTATTCAGGCCTGCGGTGAAAAGGACTGTCCCGAGTTCAAGAAGATCACTGAGGGCATCCGCATTGTTCAGAAGATCCATACGAGTGCATCGCTGGATTCCGGTGCGTGTGAAAATCTAACCAGTATGGCCTTGAAAGTGACAATTTTATTAACCTACTCTGCTTTTATTAGATTGCCTATCGTGGATTGGACTGCAGGAGCTGAGCAAACATTATTACACGTACAAGGGCTCGCTGACAACTGCGCCGTACTTCGAAAGTGTCACCTGGATAATTTACCGCACCCCCATTTACGTGTCGCGCGGCCAGGTGCGTGTGTTTCTCACCAAGATGATCCTCGAAATTAGATTAAATTTAACAAACTTATTTTTTTGATTTGCAGGTTCAGGTGTTTCGCAATTTGCAATCGTGTCCCAAAGATGAGTCCAAAAAGATAGTCAACAATTATCGCGAGATCCAGCGTCCGCACAAGGATCCGGAAATCTTCTTTGCCCGCAACACCAATCCAAAGTCCAAGTTATGATGTGCTTGCCATGTGACTTGGGTACTCTCTTGATAATCTACAATTCCCGCTCCTAACTTTCCTTTTCCATCCTTCCGCGCAATTTCCTCCGCCCAATCGTGTGTCTCCTATCTTAATAATTGCTATATGTAAACTTTTATCTGTCTGGTTGTCTGTAAGCTGCTTTTGTTATTTGCCTCATGTACATAGCGTTATATATCTAACAAACATACATATACATATATATACGGAGTATTTACGATACGGTTACGTGTATGGAATCATTTTAGTCGGAACACGCGGTTGCCTTGCATTGAATATTTCAGAGAAATATCGGGCACAACTACTTAAGACATCTACAAGAGACGTAATCCTAACGTTTAAGTTATTTAGATAAACAATGAAAGCGAGAAAATAGGAAAACAAGAACAGCAAACCAACACATTTTGTATGTCCAAACTGAATTTATTAAACATCTAATTAAACATGTATAAAAGTATCAAAAAGTCCTTATATTATGGGATAACTGTGGATCAAGTTTTAAAGCTATAGGTTGTCAAAATACGTTCTAGTTGGGTATCATCTTATTTTTCGAGTAGAAGAGGCACTATGTTTTGGATAAACCAGGCTTTGGATATGGCCAAGTGATCACCTTCGACGCCGAGAAAGATAAGTTTTCCTTGTCGATGCATCTTGTCCAATCCCAACTTAAGGAAAAAGTGTGCATTTAATATAAGGACGTTATGTGATAGATATAACTATGTACGTACATCCTGATAGACTTTGCTCTCAGTAAAGGGCTGGATGACTTTGTTCTGCCCGCTGGTGTAGTATTGAAACCACTGGGACTCCTTCGGCTGCACAATCGTGTCGTTCAAGAACTGCACCATCACAAATCTGCAATGCAATGGTTAATATTTCTCAAAACTAATTATAGAACTGGCAAAAAAGAACCAGATTTCGAAACATTTTTAGCCACATGCGCACTTACTTTTTAAGCTTGTGTAGGTTCTCAATGTAGAACTCGTTGATGATGAGCTCATTGTTAATGTCCGCCAGAAATGTGCTGCCTAGGCGGTATTTGTTCTCCATGATCGGATCGTGCCAGTAAGTGGCCTGAACCAACTTACTCTGTACTTCACTGGGTGAAGAAAAGAGAGAGTAAACACGATTAAGAAGGAGATGGCGACATGGTGGTGTGGGGTTAAGCCGCATGTGAGTCCCAAGAATTTCTCGATAACATAAACAACTCTTAAAGTTTGGAGTACAGGCCCCTCAAAACGAAAATTTGCTGCCTTAAACTAAATCAAGTCGTTAATGGGTTTTATCCTATATAAAATTTTTCCTCTTGTGATATATGAGTCTTAGGAACGTTAAGAAGTTTTCAGAAGTCACTATACTCTACACTATCTGAGCCTAGCTCAGATACTCCATTGATCCTTTAATTTGAGCTCGTATGCAGAACATCCAGAACTTACTATATCTTACTAGTATGTTAAGATTCCGTAACCATTCTCTGGGACCACAAGGAGACTTACGGTGCGTAGGCGGCATTGTCAAGTAGCCTGGTAATGTAGTCACAGGAGCTTAAGGTTAGGGTTGGGCACATGGGCAGCCCGAAGATGCCCTGGTGCTGTCCGCCGAGGGTGATGAGGGTCCTCATCGGCGGATTCGGACATCGTTCGGCCACCGCGCGCAGGAACTGGCCGCCCTGCGAGAACCCGATGGCATTGTATCCCTGGGCCAGGCGCTCATCCAGCCGAAGTTGTTTGCAAACGTAATCCACCTGCTCGTTGGGATGTATGAAGAAGCCGCTCTCCCAGTCCATAATAACATTGCCGCCGATCTCCAGGGATCGCACATAGCCGCCCTTTGTCTGCTCCACGATCAGGCTCATAATGGAACCCAGGCTGAAGGGCACGCAGCAGGTGTCGCCCATTCCGTGCCACAGAACGACCGGCAGGACATCTGGATTGGTTCCTCCTTTCGTCGGCTTCCACCAGATGTATCCAAGGACGAGGGCCAAGATCAGAAAAAGACAATATATGACACATATTAGTCTTTTATAAGGAAACAAACAAATCATAGCTTGCTGTGTAATCTTTACTAATCAAATAAGTCTGCTATTAATAATTATCGATAACATGCAAATACGATACCGCTGCACAAAACAATTGGGGTATTCCACGTACTGTTACAGTACCAGGTTGTGCGTGGGATTATTTATACCTAAAGGTATCTTCGTACAGTTTACTTTAAAACCAAATGGAAAACATAAAATAAAAGAAATCTTTTTCCTACCTCCAAACTCGATGCATTTTGTAAAGCCCTCATCGCAGATAACCTTCATCCATACGATTGTTGCCTTCTTGCTTGCCTTGTGAACAAAAAGTGTACATTTTCCAGCACTGACCTATCGGCAAGAATACAAAATGTATATGAATACGCTGAATGGTAAACAAATGCTCAACAGCTGACAGCAATAACACATTTTATCCTGTGAGTTTGTTGCATTCGATTTAAGCTCGCTTTTTAACGTAGCGCACTGTTTAAAAGTGATGAGAAACTATTGTTAACTATGCCAACAAACGGCATAAGCTGTTTATAAATCTTATGCTGGTTCATAATTTAAGTTGCCATAAAAAGCGCCTTTTTTCAATCATGAAGGCTGTCTTACAAGATCGGGGATCCATAGATTTATCCCTCGAAGAATGCGATTTGGAAAGGACTTTGCTTGGAGGACAAAGTTTCCGGTAAGCGCTACCCATAATAATAATGCACATTTTTAAAGCAACTTTTCCTTTCAGATGGCGGTCCATAAGCGATGGAAGTAGAACGAAATATAGCGGAGTGGTGTTCAACACCTACTGGGTGCTCCAGCAAGAAGAATCCTTCATAACTTACGAGGCATACGGGCCCAGCAGTGCTTTGGACACAAAGGACTATTCTTCCTTGATATCTGATTACCTACGCATGGATTTCGACCTAAAACTTAACCAAAAAGATTGGTTAAACAAGGATGAGAACTTTGTAAGGTTCTTGAGTAAGCCAGTGCGAGTGCTTTCTCAGGAGCCGTTCGAGAACATTTTTAGCTTCCTTTGCAGTCAAAACAATAACATAAAGCGGTAAGTGCTTCAATCACATGCGAACCCCTTCTGCCATCCAGTAAATGTGTTTCTTGTTAGCATATCATCTATGATCCAATGGTTTTGCGCTACATTTGGCACCAAGATTGGCCACTTCAATGGTTCCGATGAGTATACATTCCCGACGATTAACAGATTCCACGACATCCCATGCGACGAACTGAATGCCCAACTAAGGGCTGCCAAGTTCGGTTATCGGGCCAAATTCATAGCACAAACGCTGCAAGAGATCCGGAAAAAGGGGGGCCAAAACTGGTTCATACGGCTGAGGAGCATGCCGTTCGAAAAAGCTCGCGAGGAGCTGACACTGCTACCCGGAATCGGATACAAAGTGGCGGATTGTATCTGCCTTATGTCGATGGGTCACTTGGAATCCGTGCCCGTCGACATTCATATTTACAGAATTGCTCAAAAGTACTACCTGCCCCATCTAAGCGGTCAAAAGAACGTAACCAAGAAGATTTACGATGAGGTTTCGAATCATTTTCAAAAGCTACATGGAAAGTCTGCCGGTTGGGCTCAAGCTGTAAGTCAACTGAGACTAACAATTGTGTATGCGCGTTTCTTATTTTATCATTATTTCAGATTCTTTTTTCTGCCGATTTGGGTCAATTTCAAAATACTTCCACAGTTGACTGTAAAAAAAAATCCAATAAAAAACATAAAAAGTGATCTTATGTACGAGTATAAAATTTAAAAAGGTTGTTCTTTTAATATTGTAATGTTAAAATATAATAGAAATATATACGAGTATAGTGTATATGTTATCGGAAATGATAGGCAGGAAGAAGTCTATACTGGTTTTCTTATATCTTTTTATTTCTAAACAAAAATTCTTATACAGATGTAATTGATTACATAAAATGCACATTAAATGTCCGTTATATACATTGCCATATTTGTGTGTACAGTTTGCGCTCGAAATTGGAAATCAGGATATTCAAAATGGCTTGTATTCATCTTCCAAATCCTTCGTTAGCGTGATATACGGAAATATGTTGATTCAAGAAAAAATCGAGGAACAAAGTAAAACCACTTATAGATTTACATTGTATGTCTAGGATACGCCCCTGCAATGGTTTTTTTTGAGTTTTTAATAGGTGTTCTAAGGAAATATCAGATCGAAAGGGGCGAGTGAGCACTGTACAAATGTGAGTTTCAGTATCTGCATCCGTAGCCGTGTCCGTATCGTTGTATCTGTCCGTATCTTGATAAAAGTCCGTGTCTACAGGACCCCATTCGCCTCCGCTGATCCCGACGCCCCCTGAGTGCCCTGTTGTTGTTGCTGCTGCTGCTGTTGGAGCTTGCTGCTCTGCGAGAAGTCGATACAGGCGCCGGAGGTGAGATCGATCTCCTCGGAATCGGATCCATCGGAACCCTCGTCGGAGTGTCCGGATAGGGCGGCCATTCCGCCCAGTTCCATGCCGTGCGACGGCGCCTTATAGAGCTTTAATTCTGTATAGGTCTTCGATAGCTTATCTTGATCCGTGCCCTGCTGGTGACCCTGGTGCTGCTGTTGTTGTTGCTGATGCTGCTGCTGCTGCTGGAATGCCGGGTGCATCATGGTGAAGCTGCCCGCACTGGGTCCATTGCTTACCTCCGCCAGATCGGAATCCTTGCTGGCGGAGGAGAGGTTCTCCGGCGTCTGGCTGGGCGGTCGACCCGGAGCACCGTTGCCGGATCCCCCCTGTACCGCTCCGCCGCCCATGACGGGGGGCGTGCCCAGGCTGAGGCACCGCATCCGCCAGGCGTCCTGGAGCAGCTGCAATCGTGCCTGCTTGCGCCACTTGGCCCGTCGATTCTGGAACCAGACCTGCAATTCAAAGGTAATGTCAAATAGTCAAATTTATTTACAGTTCTTTTAATCGAAAATAAAATAGATCTTTTTTTGTTGGATCTATAAACGTCCTTTTAGTTATGGATATAAGATATAAGCTTTTTCAAAATAAACAATTAAATAAACCAAGTTATTGGGCATTTTTAGAACTCAGTCAGTAGTGTTTTAAATAAAAACACAATGTGTTTAACAATAAAATGGAAATTTAATCCGTTAAAACGTTAAGAACTTGAACTAAATTTTTATAATCCAATAAGAAAAGTACAACAGTACCAAAAAAGTTCTAAATTCTTCACAGGTCTTCAAATCGGATCACGCAGGGTCACGGATCAACTGGGTGGATACTTTGCCTGGTCTCTAGGGGGAATTCACCTGGACGCGTGCTTCGGATAGGCTGATCCTCAGGGCTACCTCCTCGCGCAGGAACACGTCGGGATAGTGGGTCTTCTGGAACAGTGCCTCCAGCTCCTGCAGCTGCTGTGGCGTGAATGTCGTCCGGTTCCGGCGCTGTCGTCTACGGCCAAACATATACTCCGTGAGCAGATCGCCGGGCAGCGGCGATATAAATGGACCTGCCATTATGAGCGCTCCTTAATGGGTATGTTTCGATTACTCGAATGTTTTTTGGTTTTATATTTTAGCTGCACGACTTGAATGCTTTGTGAGTTTCGTGAATGAGTTTTTATGAGTTTCGTATGATTATTATGACATTTGCACAAAAAAAAACTACCGTAATGACATTATATGCTTGGATAACTGGACAATTATTTTTCAGTTTTGAATTTTGTGTTGCTAGATGTGTATTTTATTTCATTGTGATTTCTTTTTCGTTTTGTTTAAGTTACTGAGAAGTATTTTCCATAGTTTTTCACTCACGGCACACAAAACAAAAATTGGGTTTTGAAATTTGATTTTTCAAATCGCCACCAGTTGGCGCCACTTCAAAAAAAAATAGTTGGGCAGTACTACAAAAGTTTATTTCGTAGAGTTGCTTTTCGCTGAGCGTTTGGCCAGCGACTGTGGAAATGCAGGCAGCATCCTGCGGCTTTTATGCAGCTGGCAAAGGACTCGGGCTAATATATACGTATGTATGTACGTGCTTGTGTGGTAGTATGTGTGTGAGGGTGCGCCTGCGACTCGCTTTATAATTAAGAGACTCACACGCACACAGTTACAAATGCAGCTAATTGAATTTTGTAAAGCTTTATTATTGACAGAGCAAGTGTTAAAATAGACTCTTCTTTAAACAAGAATTATAATTTTTTTAAGCGTGATTTCACCGTATTTTAGATTTGATTTTTTTTTCTATTTAATGCTTTTAATTGCGTTTTTAAAATTAATTTTGTCCTGCTCTGTTGGTTCTCCCTATCTCTCTCTCTCTCTCTCTCTCTGGCTGTTGCCATCTCCTTCTTTCCTTGGCCACGTTGCGCAGCCTCCGATTGTTAATCTCGCTCTCTCATTTGTTGCAGCTAAAGCTTTCTCCCTCGGCTCTCCTTTCTCCCCGGATGTTGTTGTTTATTGTCTTCTCGTTTTGACTTCGTTAAATTACGGCACAAGCACAAAAACCTCATAAGCGTTGTTGTTTTGCCCACAGTGGGCTGAAAGTATAAAAGAGCTAACAAAAAAACACATTTAAAAATAAAAGCTTAAAAATTCTATTCTCAAATGATGATATAGCATAGTACTATTATTTATAAAAACTAAATAATAACCAAAACAATGGAATATTATAATCTAGTGTAATCCGAATCCATAATAAAAATTGAATATAATAATGTACTAGTGACATTTTCTTCAACATTTTTGTTCTACTTTTTTTTTGTATTACCTGCGTTTAGAGTTTTTGTAATTGTTCTTCTGAAGTGTAAAACTTTCTAATAATAATATTTGAGTTCGTATTTATTCTAATTTTGCACCACTGTACCGCCTTCGGCTTCATTGTTTCGTATATGAAAATGTACCTGTAAATAATAAAATTCAAATCACTTAATGCTGCCGGCAGCGGCGTCGGCAGCGACGCCGACTTCGGCAGAAGGACAATGACAATAAGGCAACACCCTGCACACACACACACACAAACGTAGCGGGGGAGGGGGTGAAGGACGAAGATGAAGTGGGGGAAAGAGGGAAGAGCACAAAGGGCGCATAAGAAAATGAGGTTGCCACCACAGCTGATGAGGAAGATGGTGACGGGGAGGAGTGGTAAAGTGGGGGTGGTAGCGGGAGAGGGGAAAACACTGACTGCCTCTTCTTCTTCCCAAAACCCCCTCCCCTGTACAAGTGTGTGTGTGTGTGGTAAACAAATGAAGGGATGTAATTTTCTCATTTGCCTTGCATTGTGCTTTGTTTTTGTTTCGTTTTTATTTTTTTGCGCTGCGCTTGCGCTGGAAATTATATTTATTTATTATTTATGAAGAATAGGCGTGGCACTCCACCGCCCCCGACCACCCCCTCCACGCCACCTGCCGTCGCTTTTGTGTGCCGCCTTTTATTTCATTTGCTTCCTTTTGCACACAGGCCAATCATAAGCGAGACCAGATGTCCTTGTGTTGGTGCTGAAGTCCCTGTGTGCATGTGTTTGTGTGTGTGTGAGAGAGTTCTCGTGTGTATGTATGTGTGTGTGTGTGTGCGCGCGAGGGTTGACCAGGATATCGAGGATAACGAGCTGAAAACAAGTGACAGCTCGACGTTGACAGGCTCATTCAAATTACGCGAAATTATCACAGAAACGTTTCATTGTTCTCATCTGTGTTTATACTTTTTAAATTCGTTTTTCACTTCAGTTTTGGGTAATTACAAAATGTACTACTTAAAAGTTTTCTTAAAATATGAATTTATATTTATTTCCTTATTTTATCTAGTAATTAACAATTATTAGTTGCCTTTCGTCAGTTTTCATGTTCCTTTTTGCCACTGTTGATTTGAAATAGTTATGTTTATATGCAAAACGGATTTAAAACTGTGCCAGTTTCGTATATTATTTGTATATCTTTCTAAATTATAAATATTTTTCATTTTAATTTTAAGACTTAGTAGTTTAATTTTGCTTATTATTTTATTACACTTTACCAAATGTATTTTTACTTGCAAGTAAGGAGGCTTGTTAACTGCCATGCTTGCATCTCCTTCTCTACTCTCTACTTTCTCTCCTTTTCTCTACATTTCTCTCACTTTCTTCCTGGCATTCCCTCAGCGCCATTTTTAATTTTGTAATTTGATGCTGGGCTGTTATGCGCTTGTTGTTGTTCCCCATTTCCGTTTCCCTTTGCAGCTGTTGCTGCTGTTGTTGGAATTCATTAGGCAACGCGCTTTCCACCTGAGCGAGGAGTTTTCCCAACCACTTTTCCCGCTCTCTTAATCTCTGCTTCCCTGTGTGTGTGTCCATTGTTTTGTCGCGCTGATTGGTCTTTCACTCTGCATATGTGTGTGTGAGTGAGTGAGTGAGCGAGCGCTCTCCATTGTTGTTTTGCCTCTCGTTCTCGCCTCTTGCTGCCGTTGTTAATTATTTATTTTAGCGCGCTCCTCTTCTTCCGCTTCTCGTTGTCTCACTGCTTTCCCTCTCTCCAAACCACCTCCCCCCACCCCCTGGTGCAGCCATTTATTTACCGCTTTTTGATTTAATATGCCGCCAAAACAGAAACAAAATGGCGCCTGTTCGTTGTGCGCTCATAGGTAGGCAACACTTTTTGAACAGAGTTTTCCTGAAACCAAGTAAATAATATTTATTTCTGAATTGTATTTATGTGTTTCTTACGAAATTCTAGCTATGATAGCTCAAAATTGTTATCATTTTTATTATATTACTTTAATTGTGTCACCATTTCACTTCAAAGCCGATATTTAAGCCGAAAATATGTCTTAATAATTAATTTGTATATATAATTAAAAAGTTTCAATGTAAAACTACACCTTTTTTTAAATCCTCATACTCAGAACATTTTTTACCCATTATACCGCCCAAAGTTGTATTGTTGATTACCTAGTTGCTATTTCTCTGTGAGATAATTTATATATCCTACTTAGTTAGGATCCAGATGCAAATGGTTGCCATATCCGAAATTTGAGCACCCTTCTCTTAGAAAACCTTAATCAAACGCAGTATAAACAATAAAATTTTGCGTGGCTTGCGCGAATAAAAAAGAATTCCCTGCGGTGAAAGAAATGATGATGTTAGTGGGTGGTTTTCGACTGGATTTTGGGTGGTTTTATTCTGTTGTTCGGTTGGTTTCTTCGCCGCCAAAGACGCTAGTTAATTGGAATTTTTAATTATGATTTGTCAATGCTGGCGAAAAAAGCAAAACAACAAATAACGAGGGGAAAAGCCGAAACAAAAAGCAGAACAAGACAAAGCAAGTTGGAGAGGATGGGGAAAGTGTCCTGGTGCGAAACCAAAAGGATAACAAAAGCAGGGAAGTAAGCTAAATATAAAGATGGAATTTCGTTGTATACCCTAAGTACATTACGCATAAAACTAGGTCCTGTAATCTCACCGCCCCCTCCCCCTGCGCTGCTATTTATTTAATATTTTTCATGCCTCTCTGTTGCATTTTGTAATCATTTTAATTGCCCCAATAATGAGTGCACCATCCCCACATTCCATTCCCCCGCCCCCATTTGCCCACCTGGCACTCGCTTATGAAAATCATTAAGTTAATTACATTTTTTGCACGCCAGAGAGACAGAGAAAGGGTGAAAAAAAAAGAAAAACACAAAAATTATAATCAGCGCCACACAAAAGCACACCGTGATGTTTTTTTTCCGAGGGGCGGCGAAAGGGGGGCGTGGTCCAGGCACCTCAGCTGCAAAAACCCGAGCGAAAAAAGTGCAAAAAACATGAGAAAATATTTCTCATAATACTAATTGCATAGTCACAATGTCATTTTGCCAGGGGGTTGGGCTAAATGAGGGGACAGGGGCGGGGCCAAAGGGGGGCTCAGTAGGCGCCCATGACAGCTGTCTGTCAGCGGAGACGAGCCGAAACGAGATGAGAGATGCACTGAACGAAAAAGCCCAGACCCAAGCTAATATTTCCTAATACAACCAAAAAGTAACATCAAAATTAGGCAAAGGATAACTTTGCTCATTTTTAGATGACCAAGAAGTATGCAACTCTACCTTTTGGAGTACAAATGTGACAAAGATACTTTTGCACCAGTTACAAATACTTTATTCTTGCGCTTAATTTGAAATATTTAAAATATGTAGGTAAATGCACGTTTCTTTGGGGAATATTTGAACTACAAATTATGGTTATGGTTACTTGCTTAAGCACTTAATCTAAAAAAGTGGTTTCTCACATATTTTACTTGTTTTCTCTCCGTGTGCTTTATAGGGGAACGGGATGATGAAACTGAATTTATGCTGGAAATGCAGCCAAGCAAAAACAACAGCAACAGCCACGATGACGGGGAGGACGACAAACCACCGTATCCGGGAACTCGACTCAACTCAACCAGCAAGGACTCGGCATCAGTCAGAGCCCGGTTGCATTTCACAAAAGAAAATGAGTTGGAAAAAAAAGTAATTAAAAAAACAGCAGCAGCAGCAGCAGCAGCAGTCTGTAAATTACGGAGATTTCAATCCGGTTAAGACGAAATCAAGATGAGCTACCAATTTATAATTGCGAATTTGCCTGCAGTTCGAAAGCAGCTGTTACTGTTGATAAAACTCACCTAAAATTATATCAACTGCTAAATTTGTTATGTTTATATAATGGGTTTTCGTTTTT